TACCTGCAGAGAGTTCCATTGACCGAGCATTTCAACTACCTTGTTTCCTATCTGAGCGATGAAGCAGTACGCAGGGCTATAGCGAACGGTTTTGCGGCCAGTAACACGCTCCCACAAAACTGGAGGATTTTAGACGACTGTTTTTCCCTGCCTGTAGACACCCAACAGATGACAATTCAGTTTTTGTCTCGCCACCAGAAACCTCAGGAAAGCCCCATCGACTATTTTCACTCATTACAGCAGCTAGCAACCCAGGCATTCCCTAGCCTGGACATCTTGGGGCGAGAAGAAATTACACGCTCCCGTTTTATTGAAGGACTGCTGCCAGGTGCACTGCGAGAACATCTACTTCGAGTGCCACCGGCTGACACAGCCGACTTGAAACGAACGGCACTTCGGTTGTTGACTGCTGAAAGACTGTCAGTTCCATTGGCGACCTATCGACCAACCGTGATGACTATCGATGAAGCCACCGAACCTAATCTACAAGATAGCTTTCAAAGCGCCGCGGCTGTTAGAGGGTTCCCTGACCGGAATAGTAGACGAGGGCAGCCGACTCCCACATGGAATGGACGGTCGTCAAGGGACAACTATCGAGGCCAGCAAACAGAATGCTTCTATTGCAGACGTTTCGGCAAAAATGCCAAGAAATGCGGGCATAACCGCGTGAAAAACAGAGGTAAGCAGTGTCGTTTACATATATCGTCTTGCTATGTTAAACATTTGTGCCCTGTTACTATTAAGGGTAGAGTGCAAAGTACTGAGATTAATATACTATTAGATACAGGAGCTTCAGTATCCTTGATCAAGGAAGACCTCTTGCAGAAACTTAACCCCAGCACTCAGCGTAAACAATGCTCTTCTACCTTAATTACCGCGAGCGGAGAACCCTTGAAAGCGTGTTCTAAGATAGGGTTAGAGCTGACGATTGACAAGAAGCCTTTTCAACATGAATTCTGGGTTTGCCCCACACTGACTTGGGACATGATTCTCGGGGTCGACTTCATGTTAAAATACCAGGTCTCTATACACATGAATAAGTCAGAAGCGAGTATTGGTGGAGTTGTCGTGCAAATACAACACCATGAAATACCAACTAAGTCCGTAGCCCAGGTGGGAACTGCAGAGATTGTACGTCAGGTACAAGATAACCAATTAATAAGTGAAAAGGACCGTCGGGCTACCATTGACGTACTCCAACGATTTAGCACTGTTTTCTCGGAGAATATCTCTGGAAATCGGACAACCATTGTGCAACATTCCATTGTCACAGGTGACCACATGCCATTACGCCAACCACCTCGCAGAGTCCCGGTGCATTATCAGCCTCATTTAGAATCAATGATAAAAGATATGTTAGAAAAAAAGATTATTGTACCATCTTCGTCACCCTGGGCATCGCCAATTGTCTTAGTAAAAAAGAAGGATTCCTCTCTACGACTGTGTGTAGATTACCGGCGCCTTAATGCTATAACTAAGCGTGATTCTTTTCCACTTCCACGGATAGACGCTACCTTAGATGCCATGAAAGGTGCTCGCTGGTTCTCAACGCTAGACTTAGCATCAGGGTATTGGCAAGTGGAAGTCCGACCCCAAGATAGAAAAAAACTGCATTTGTAGTGCCTAATGGCTTATATGAATTTCAAGTAATGCCTTTCGGGCTAACTAATGCCCCAGCTACCTTCCAACGATTGATGCAGACAGTTCTGCAAGGTCTCGTACCGCACCAGTGCTTAATCTACCTTGACGATATTATTGTATATGGCAGCACGCCAGAACAACATAATGCCAATTTGAAGGCAGTCCTACAACGTATTAGGCAGCATAACCTAAAAGTGAAACCATCTAAATGTCGACTATTGCAAAAAGAAGTGCTTTTCTTAGGGCACCGCATTACAGAAGATGGAGTGGCAACAGATAAAGAAAAGACACGTGTGATTGTTAATTGGCCGCAACCAAAATCACCTGAAGACGTTCGTAGCTTCCTTGGACTAGCTTCTTACTATAGACGCTTCGTACGTGATTTCGCATCATTAGCAGCACCTTTACACCGATTAACCCACAAAGGACGAAAATTTTTATGGACCAGCGAGTGTCAACAGGCGTTCGATGCTTTGAAGGCTCGGTTAACTTCTCCACCTATATTAGCCTTCCCAGATACTTCAGCAGACGGAGGCGAATTTATACTTGATACGGATGCTAGTTCCTCGGCTATTGGAGCAGTTTTATCACAAGTAGCTCGAGATGGACACGAAAGGGTCATTGCGTATGCTAGTCGACGACTAGATAAGAGTGAAGCACGATATTCTACAACACGTCGGGAGATGTTAGCACTAGTAAAATTCTTACAACATTTTCGCCATTATCTGCTGGGCAAACCCTTTCGTGTGCGCACGGATCACCGTGCACTGCAGTGGCTCCGCTCTTTCCGCGAACCAGAAGGGCAAGTGGCACGCTGGCAGGAGAGACTACAAGAGTTCGATTTCACATGCGAGTATCGACCGGGAAATCGACATGCAAACGCGGATGCCCTCTCCCGAATACCCCAGACCACAGATATTATTAACGCAATTCTTAGTACAGCTCCAGAGACAGACTGGCCCTCCTACAAGCAGCAGATCCAGACTTACAGATTGTTTATCAAAGACAGCTACATGGAAATAGTAAGCCATCCATGAGGGAGCTTAAAGATCAATCCGTAACAACTCGTCGTATCTGCACCAAATGGGGTAACTTCAAGCTATATGGTGACACATTATTCCTAATGAATGAATCAAAACAACCCCTACTGATAGTACCGCGAGTGAAAGTTGAGAGTATTGTGGAACAGGTACACCGCGAACTTGGTCATGCGGGAGAACGGAGAACTGAACACGCTGTCCGTCAACGCTTTTGGTGGCCTTCCATACACGAAGATGTAGCTCAGTTTTGCAAGAATTGTAACACGTGCTGCCGTTTTAAATCGCCTCAGCAGACACCCCGTGCACCAATGACGCCGATGGTGACGACAGGACCACACCAGCGAGTTGGTATAGACATCATGGGACCACTAACTACGACAAAAAACGGGAACCGCTACATACTGGTTATGGTGGATTATTTCACTAAATGGTGCGAAGCTGTACCCCTTCCACAGCAAGACGCCCTTACTGTTGCCCGAGCTTTCATCGATCACTGGGTCTCCCGTTATGGTGCCCCTGTCTCACTCCACTCCGACCAAGGTCCAGTTGCAGTAAATTCCATCAACCCTGGCAAGGCCCCTTTGAAATTGTCCTCATCCGATCGCCCACCACGTTTGTATTGCGTAACATACAACGACCTAAAGACGATGTGATAACGGTGCACTACAACCAGATAAAACCCGATCGGACGACATTTCCCTTCGATGCTCAACTCGCTGATCCACCGCCGGCCACTAGATTTTACGAAGTACCATCTGAAGGGGGGACAGCATACCCATGCCCAAGATCAGGCACTGAGGACAGTGCCTCATTAGGAGAGGGGGCGATGTAACGGGATTAAAATCATCATGTATGATGTTGTTAATAGATTTTGTTTTCCTTCTATTGCAGGGCAAGCAAGAATAAACGCTTTAGAAGAAGAAGAGCAAGCCCTACACGCACTGAACTTACAGGATGACTCATAAGACCGTTTGGTAAACTAGCTCTCTTTCTGTACAAAAACCCGCGGATTTTAATTTTTAAATAAACGTCTATTGGCCTCCATTCCTCGTTCTCTCTGTGGTGTAGAGTGTTCAGTTAACATTGTGTGTGTTGTGGCTTTAGGTCTTCCCGTATTCCAGTGACTGCTGATTACACGTGTAACAGCAGCGTAGCGGCGTTAAAAATCATCACATGTGACGTTACTAATGCGAGTTTGTTTTCCTTATTGCGGGGGAACAAAGGGTAAACGTACTAGAAGAAGAGGAACAAGCTTTACGCAAACTGAACCTGCAGAACAATCAATAAACCCATTCTGCAATAAGCTTCCCTTTTTGTACTCCAGCCGTGTCTTTCAATTTTAAATATATTTCTGTTGTGCCAGTACGCCGTCTTCTTACTTCAGTGGCATTTACCGGTCCTGACTGTTGTGTTGTGTTTCAGATCGCTCCTGCTTGCAAGTAAACGCTAATAGTACGTGCTACAACTGACATATCTCACGAAAAAATACTTTAGAGTTGAGTCTTGATCGTTCTGTTTACATACTGACATAACGTCCTTAGTATGCGTGTACTAAGAAAATAATTATCAACCACAGAAGTCCTACTACCTTATGTACTCCTTCCAAACAAGCCTAGAAATTGTCCCAACTTGCAAATCGTCGCGATAACATAATATCACTGAAGATTCGTTCTATATCATGCATCATCACGACGGCATCGTTTTCGTTACTTGAAGAATGGACGTTATCAGACAGTGTGGCTGAACTAAATTCAAATCTAAAAGTATCTTGATTGAACCGCTTCTGCAAAACTTCACGAATTATCGATGTGGCGCACTAATCATCTAGCGACACTTTGACCTTCAGGTGCTCGCGACCTCCATCAGTGGACGATACCCCTGAAGCTTTTCCGAAGTTCAGTACACACAGGGCTTGCTCTACTTCTTCCGCGAAAGCTTTTATCCTTGGTCACATTTAAATAGAAAGAAAACAGAATCCATTAACATCATACATGGTGATTTCAACCCCTCCTGATGGTGCCTCATAAAACCTAGTGGCAGGAGGTGGATCGGCGAACCGAGCATCAGAGGGAACTGTCATCCGACCTGGTTTTATTCGGTTGTAGTGCACAGTTATCACGTCATCCTGAGGTCGTCGTAAGTTGCGTAATACAAACGTAGTGGGGATCGCATCTGGCCGCGCCCCGCATGACATCGATTGGGAGTTGAATTAAATTCCATCAGCCCTGGCAAGGCCCTTTCTAAATTTTCCTCGTTCGATCCCCGACTATTTTGTAAACCAGCCATTCCTTTTGTACATGGACCGCGGATTTTAATATTCGAATAAAACACTCGTGGCTTCAATTCTATGTTCTCTCTTGGCGTGAAGTTCTCGGTTAACATTGTGTGTTGTGGTTTCAGGTCTTCTTCGTCTTTCAGTGACTGTTGATTACACGTATTACAACTGCCTGTGGATTTTTTGACCGACGCAGGTGTTCATATTTTTCCCACATGCTCTAAAATACTGCTCCCCACACTCCTCCAGCACTCAAGGTACCTTCAAGATGAACGCAAACATACACAGGGTGGACTTTAAACAAAGAATATATTAATTTATCTTTATTATTTGTTCCCACACAACCAGCTGGAACTAGCTATTTTATCGTAGATCATATTTTGAACACAAATTTAGTGTTTCTAATCAATGTTTCAGTTCCAAATGGTGCTTAGTCATTCCACTATATCCGGTCAACACCTCCACGGGCCTACTGTTAGCTTTAAGCCAGTACTTTTACCAAGCTAATGTTAATAAACCCCTGTACAGTATCCGTCATAGTGATTTAAGTACAACAAGTAGATGCTTGCATTTTGTGATTCCTAGTTACTATTTTTTAAGTTTTCTTCCTGACGGATATGACGCCACCACTTCTGGCGAGTCCCAGTCGTTGGTCACTACGCAGAAATTGCAAGGTTCTAACTTGGATTTTGTGTTATATCCCACAGGTGATCAGTCCTATCGAATATTTAAGATAATAGAATTTGACAGTCAGCTCATGATACTATACCAATAACTATAGTATAAAAACTGCAATGTTTATTGTATGTTGCTCGCTACATTAAGGAAATGGAACAGTCAAGTTACGTGTTTGTGGGTAGTTTTATGTGTGCTGACCTCATTATCGAATAATCGTTTATATACCATAAGATAAATCTAAAACATACTCTCCTGTAGCCCTGAAATTTTTACCTGTTTTAACCAAGGAGTTGGGAGAGAATGTGAATAAATAAACTATTATAAGAAATCGAAAAACTAACATGGGATTTACTGTCTTCACATGACTTATAAACGTTTTTACGTTGTTCATAAGTTATTGACCGTTAAATTTTACGGTCAGGATCGGTGTTCGAGCTGTTATTTAGGGTTTATGTTTATCATGACCCATAAACTTTAATCATGCACACAACTAGTCTTCAAAGTCTCAGTTAGTTTTGCAATTGATCTATATTTTAACTCTTAAATCGTAACCATATGCTCTCTTCATATCATAAATATTACTTCTTAACGCCGAATTTTAGTCCTAAAATCTCCTATCTAACTCTGAATCCTAGTTCAAGTCATAATTTACAGTATCTAATAATGCTTCCACTAAAATTCACCATGATGCTCTTGATACTCAATATCTTGGTTTGACGTTGGATAAGCTCCAAGTCAGATGAATATACGTTCCATGACTTTAAATTAGCGGTTTTGGTTCTTGATGTATTTGGTAATGTACTTAAGGTTTACATAGATGAGTTACAGTATACTAACAGTATTGTCTGAGCCTTAAGAATTGGTCAGAACTCTCAACTTTTTGTCTGCAGCTGTAATACAATATTTTGTGCTCACTAAATGTTCCCCATAAAACTCACTTGTAACATGTTTATTAGGTAGTGAAAGTGTTGAGATTACGATGATATCCTATCGGGATTCGGTTTAAGTCCTAGTAGGTATCATCACTACATTAAGTATCCAAAGGGAAACGTATGGTGGAGTAGACCCTTTGTGTGGTTTAATTCTTTGAAGTTGTTCAGTATTAACCATTTAGATCCTTTGACTATTGGGATACAAAGCTACCGATTTCGTAATACTAATCGGTAACGGGGTGTGGAAGATGACGTGTGCTTATTCGATACTAGCCGGTTAACGTAAAAGCTTGTTACTGAGTATCAGTTCGAGTTTCCAAACCTTACTTTAGTATGTCAGGAAGGAAATTTTCAAAAAGATGTTTCAAATTAAACCTCGTTGTAAACATAACATTAAAGCAATTTTTACGGTAATTATAATCTAAATAGTGATTAGCAAAATATGAAAGTCTAAATCACACACATTTGGCCTAGTTCGAACTTTTCATAGTATTAGAGATACGTAGTATGTACTTATAAAGTTAAATCTAGCTGTTGACAAAAAATAAATAAAGTTCCATGAAATACAGTTATTTATGGTTGGAAGTCTAAAATTTTAAGTTGGTATGGAATTATCACTCAGTACTGTAGAGTACTATTGCAACTAATAAACTTTCTATCAAATCACTTAATAATGACCGATCAATTCTGCTAAATTATATGGGCTTTACTCCGCTTCAGATCAAGGACTGTATTTCGTCAACATTTTCTTATGTTTTTCTGTATTGGGTTGCGGAGGTTGTTGAACTTAATCCAAATCATGAACCGATCTAAGTTGAACAACCGTTGAACGCCGACTAATTGGTCTGGAGATTAGACGTTCGCGTTCAAAACTGGGAGTTCTGGATTGAAGCTCCGCGTGCAGGATCGTGAGTATGGACTTCCGAAGAGTCCTGTACTATGACGAATTGGCTGTCCAGTGCTTTCAGATTTTCAATGTCCTAACTTAGATCGGTTCATCGTTTCATTGAAATTTCCATTGTTTGCTGTATGAAAGTCTAGATACGTGATTTTCGAGAATGAGGTCTCCTAAAGTGTCGTTAGGTTTGGTGGAAAGGTCCCGCCGGATGTAATATTTGCTTATGCAGAGCGCTGTCATTCTTGTACTCTACAATAACGTTAGAAATGGGACCTAATTTGCAAACATCCAATATCGTTCTAAGTTTCTAATTTTTTTTCTCACGAAAATGCGTTTTCTGCTGTTGTCAATTATCGATATACATACTTCTTGATCTCTTAACTAGCTAACCCTTTCTGCAAACCCATTCATTCTCTCAATTATCGGCTTATTTGTGTGCGCTGGAAATCGTATATATGAACAGAGCTATCATTACTCAAACCTCTCTTAAGTTTAGAAAATATGGTTAGTTGGGGATTCGATGTGGGGGTTGATGTGATAATTTGGTAAATATATGTAGAAATGTTTACGACTAGTTCATAACCTATAGATTATAGATATTCAATCTGTGAGACAAGAAAATTTGATGGTCGGGATTTATTTGACAATGTCTTCACCGTTTTCTGTGACCAAGTTTGGTTTTCTTTGTTCTTTTTTGGTAGGTTAGTGATATAAAATTGACTTCTACACTCTACATTGTTGATATTTTTGTTTTATTCTCTTAACGAGTGAGCATGAGAAACAGCACTTTTCACTAGGCCTTTGTTCAACTTAAATATTTAAGTATTTGGTTCTAAAATTATTATTCACCATATTTTTCTTCGTATTCTAATTTTCTATTATGCGATATCATTCATTATTTGTTTGAGACTTAATTCTATGTTGTTGCAAATTTATGTGTATACCGTTTGCTTGCTTAGAAGGAATACATTCAATTATAAAAGAATGGTAGTACTCACTTGTACACAAATCACCACATCGTCTTGTCACTTTTCATTAACATATGTGAGTTCATATTACGCTTGTTTGGCTGTGTGCTCATTGATTTCCCAATGAAAAGCTAGTTCTATCAGTGTAACTTGATACACTCACCTGTACCATTTAACTGTCAATGATTTCTTTTACCTAACAAACGTTTTTTTTAGGGTTATTGCCAATGACTGAACTAGCTTCGAGCTACGCACAATCCAGCAACTATGTACGAAAAACGGGCCACACTTTGAAGAAGAAAAAGCAAGTTCCTCCCCCCAAATATTTGTGTGTTCCCGGTTCATTGGCACTTTTGGATAGGTAAATTTACAACTATGAGGTTTACATTCTACTTATGTAAAGGATTTCAATTATTGATAAATCTAACTCATTATGCAGTGAAATCAAATGGTAATCAATTTATATTTTTTTCATCCGACTTATGTCAATATGTTAGTTTATTTCAAAACAATGATATAGATATCGAAGTTGAAAAACTGCAAGCGCTCCAGAATGATCCCGACCCTAGCGTCGTCCAGTTAGAAAGTGAATCTAAAGCCAAATCTTTGAAAATTGGAAAATCTCGTCGTCTATTAAGGAAAGAACTGAAACGCGAATGGTTAGAAGTTTCGGATTGCTGTGTTTTCTGGTAATTGTACTTTTTAGTGTTGTGATTTTTGATACAAAAACGTTTATTGTTGTCCTATAATACTTGTTCGGTATTTGGTGATGACTAAACTTCAACCGTAGGCGATAACATCATAAACCGAATTACAGGGTAGGATCTATATATATGGGTGGGAAAAGTAATTCAGTTTGTGTGAATTTAAACTTGTACTAGCTTAGACGAGGGCTTTAAATGTTATTCATATTAAAACACATATCTCGGTATGTCTGGTGCTAGCTAAATTAAAATCAATTTTGAAGAGCTACTTTAGAACAAGACGGAAACGCGTGAAGTAAATGAATATAAGAAGAGTAAGTGTGAATGGGGTCTTCAAAATGTTAGAAGTCTGCTTTCGGTGAATTAGCGAAAAAGTGATATTACTGGTTAGAATGCCTCCACCGTTTATCTACTGAATGTTTGTCATTTTATTATACGATTTATTCTATACTCTTGTTTATTTTAGCACATTTCCTAATTTCTGTTGATTTCTTCATGTAGTTGTTTTATTATTTTATTATTTAAACAGATACATTGGCACAAGGAGACACTAAATAGATATACGCCACATAAATCATTCGATTTGCATGAGGATTGGGATAATTCTCGGTTGTCCAAACTGAGGCAGGTGGTTTTCTTAGGGGACCACTCCTTGAGCCTTAGACTCAAAGGTCTAATCCACAAGGCAGTGGAGCAGTCAGCAACAATTTACAACTTCGCACGCACGTACATCAATTCAAGTTGCCATACCATATTAGCACAGAGATACAATTGTCGATTCAAACCCCATAGTGGTAGAGGTAGTAAGAGTATTAGCAGTAATCGGAAAGACTAGGGTTTGAGGATGTTATTCAAGGAGTATAATCCAGTGAAATAAATTTGGAAAGAGAAAAAAGGACATGAAGAATTCAGAAGATTTGGATTTAGGAGACCACAAAGAGTGGATAAACATGCACCATTGCAAACGATTTTGAGCCATGTCATTCAAGGTCTCTAACCATCGGTTGATATAGTCTCGCGGATCTCGACCAGGTAGTCTACACATACCAACATGGCTCAGTCCACTTGTCAGTGACTTCATGGATTTGTTCCATGTTTTGATCTGACCGCCCCTAGCTTTCTCCCAACCTACCCCTACACCAGAAAACATCGCACGTCGAGGCAGTCGGTTGTTGGGCATACGTAACATGTGTCCCAGTCATCTCAACTGATGAAGTTTCACTACTTCATCAATTCATTTGCCATCCTTACCTATTACCCGTTTCCTAACAACTGCATTACTTACTCGATGGTCCCAGGATATACGAGCAATATTTCGAAGACACCTATGATCAAATACTAGTAACCTACGGATATCCTCTACTTTTACCGGCCATGTTTCACAGCCATAAAGTAGGACGGAACGAACTGCTGCTTAGTAAACTTGTCCTTTGGTTGCTAGACGGATATCTCGCCTACTCCAAAATGACGCAACTTGGCGTGATCTGGTCAAGCCCTCTGTATCCGTGCTGAGATTTCGTCACACACCAGACCACAAGGGCTGATGAGACTCAAGATAAGTGAGGCTCAACTACTTCATTCCCTATCATTTATGTAGGTGCTGATGCAACACAATCCTGAAGCAACATTTCGAGGGCGAGAATCGCATCCCGAACATGCATGCAATCGCAAAGATGCTCCACCTTCTATTCAGAAAGATTTGGGAGGAGGTACAAGTGCCGATGGACTGGAAAAAAGGATACCTCATCAAGATTTTAAAGAAAGGAGATCTGAGCAAATGTGAAAACTACAGATGCATCACACTACTGTCAGTACCAGAGAAAGTCTTTAACAGAGTGTTGCCGAACCGGATGAAAGACGCAGTAGACGCCCAACTTCGAGATCAACAGGTTGGATTCCGTAAGGATCGGTCGTGCACAGACCGAATTACGACACTACGGATAATCGTAGTACAATCAATTGAGTGGAACTCGTCACTGTAAATCAACTTCATTGATTATGAAAAGGCGTTTGACAGTGTAGATTGGAGGACATTATAGAAACTTCTTCGACACTATGGAAATCCTCAGAAGATTGTCAACATCATCAGGAATTCATACGACGGACTACAGTACAATGTAGTGCATGGAGAACAGCTGACAGACGCATTCCAAGTAAGGACCGGAGTCAGACAAGACTGTCTACTCTCTCCCTTCCTCTTTCTTCTGGTGGTCGACTGGATTATGAAGACCTCGACATCTGAGGGAAAAGACGGCTTACAACGGACAGTTCAGAAACAATTAGACGATTTGGACTTCGTAGATGACCTAGCCCTCCTATCGCATACACACGAACAAATGCGGATAAAGACAGCCAGTGTAGCAGCACTCTCTGCATCAGTAGGCCTCAACATTCACAAGGAGAAAACCAAGGTCCTCAAATTCAAAGCGGAAAACAGCAATCCAATCACACTTGATGGCGAAACTCTGGAAGATGTAGAGTCCTTCACATACCTGGGAAGCATCATCGATGAACAAGGAGGTTCAGATGCAGATGTAAAGGCGAGGATTAGCAAAGCAAGGGTCGCATTCTTACAATTGAAGAACATGTGGAACTCAAAACAACTGTCTGCCAACCGATATCAAAGTCAGAATCTTCAATACAAACGTCAAGACAGTTTTACTGTGCGGAGCTGGAACTCGGAGAACTACAACAACCATTATCAAGAGGTTACAAGTATTTATAAATAGCTGTCTACTCAAGATACTCAACATCATCAACAGCTTTCTGTGAAAGAGAACAAACCAGCTTCCAGCTGAAGAGGAAATTAGGAAAAGACGATGGAAATGGATAAGACATACATTATGCAAATCACCAAACTGCACCACGAGGCAAACCCTAACTTGGGATCTTGAAGGGAAGCGAAAAAGAGGAAGGCCAAAGAACACATTACGTCGGAAAATAGAATCAGACATGAAAGGGATCAATAACAACTGGAAAGGATTGCCCGTCACAGGGTTGGATGGAGAATGCTGGTGAGCGGCCTATGCTCCTTCACGAGGATTAACAGACGTAAGGAAGTAAAGTAAGGTCGGAAACCAGCCTGGTTTTCTCTAGTCTGCTCTTCACGAGCTTTAGTTAGGCGTCGAAGTATTGTTGAAGCTAAGATTTTAGACACTATATTTGTCAAACAGATTCCTCTGTGATTGTCACAAGAGGACTTTTGTCCTTTCTTATGGACTGTCACAATCAGTGATTGAGACCAGTCAGACGGGATTACGTCAATTTCCCAGGTTCTGCCTAAGACCTCAGTCAATCTCGCTGCTAATACTGGACCACCATCCTTAAAAATCTCAGGGTAAACCTGTCAGGGCCTGCTGCTCTCCTACGCTTCAGATTTCCTATGGCTTTCTCAACTTCGTAAAGAGTTGGAGGACTTACATTAACTTGCCATTCAATTCGACTGGGGACCGTGAGAAACCGGAATATGACTGAATGCCAGTTGAACTGATCCCTAAAGTGTTCTGCCCATCGATCTGATCTCCTGGATCGAGAATGAACAATGTGTCCATCTTTTTCGGAGATAGTTTCACTAACAGTTGGGTTCCTAATACCGGTTTCCTTGACAAGTCTGAACAGTTGTCTGTTGTTGCCTATCGCCGCTGCCTTTTCCATCTCTCTTGCTTTCTCTACCCACCACTGTTCACGACCATTACGTAGGCTTCTTGTCAGCTTGCGCTTAATCTGACTCCACTCTTCGTCATGTTCAGAGCCTGATGGGATGAGTTTCCGAGTATCTATCAGTGCGACAGATGCTGCTGAGATCCAGTGTTGCTCCCTAAGCTTACGGGTTACCTTACTAGCAGATATCACTGCTGTTTTCACAGTTTTTCGGATATCATTCCAAGCTACCTCGGGGTGGGCATCACTTAAATGGCTGCCTAACTTTTTCTAGTTCCTGAAATATATTCTTAGCTTGGCAATCATTGAGTAGAACACTGAGAGGTTTCCTGACAGCGTCTTCCCTACGTCTAATAAGACGCAGACAAATACGCGCTCGTACTAGAGCATGACCTGAATCTAAGCATGTGCTCCAGAATGAGCGACAGTCTTCTATCGAGCCCCTCCATCGGTGGCTGATAGCGATGTGATCTATTTGGGTCCAACGTTGAGACGAATTCGAGGGTTGCCTTGTCAAAAGATGTTTTTCCTTATGCATAAAGTTAGTATTTGCAAGGAACAGGCGGTTATCTGAGCATAGCTGCAACAGACGGTCGCCATTATCTGTTCTTTGAGCCACGATGCTATAAGATCCACTCAGGTGTCTTTCTCTATCGTTTAGTTTACCTACTTGAGCATTAAAGTCACCGGCCATTATTACTTTATCAGAGCTCAGTAGAGCAGCGTAAGGAGATGCAGTCCCATGGTAGCCGGTGACCAGCAGTAGGTTCATATGCCATTCGTTCCATCAAGATCCTGGAGCCCATGTGCACCATTCGTTTGGAATCAGGTTTACCAATTCTCCTAGGTGGATCCTCCGTATCCACCAACCCGGTTAGAGCGCCGAATATTCTCTTATTTTCTCTCAATTTCGTAAATAACACCCCCACCGCAAGAAGGCATTGGTTGTATGCACGTGGCCATATGTGAGCACTTCGAGAAAGAGAGAGCTGACTCCCCACTCTCGGCCGTACCAGGGAATTTGGGGGCTAGTGTAGCACTTTAAACCACCAAACTCTTGTAGCATGTTTTATATTATTACACTGTGTTTTCATTCAATGTTACGGCTATTATGTCCATAGTTATTGCTTCGAGCATTAAGTTATAAGGACTAAACTAAGTTGTATATTGTTTAACATGAAGTAATACTTCGGTAGCTCAAATTAAAACCACTTAACCAAAATTTAAAGTGCTAAATGTATTTTAAAGTTGGTTCTGTGGACCTATATCGGTGAATATTAAACACTCACACATAGTGCTCGTTGCAGGTGACTTTAATGCCCACTTAGTTAGCTTAAACCAAACAGAAAAACATTTAGGTTGACATTTCGGTGCTCCGACTCAGTCAACAGATAATGATGACCGTCTGCTGCAACTGTGCCCAGATGATCGTTTATTTCCAACAAGCTCTAACTTTAAACATAAAGACTCAAACAGACCATATTGCCATCAGTCATCGTTGGAGAGGCTCAGCAGGAGACTGCTGCTCGTTCTGGAATACATGTTTAGACTATGGTCATGCTCTAATAAAATCAAACATTTACTTGCACCCCACTGGACGTAGAAAAGTTGCGATCAAGAATACCCATTAAAATTGAACTCAACGACGAGAAAGCCAAAGGTAAATTCCAGAAACAAATGAAGTCACACTTAGGCCATTTTGAAAGCGAGGCTGACCTAGATGTTACTTGGAAAGATATACGAACAACAGTGACATCTATTAGTGATTTGAACCAAAGAGTTACGAAAAACCAGTGGGTTTCTGCGATATCTATTGCATTGATAGACTCGTGAACTTATCCATTCAGGCTCCAAACACGATAAGGAGCGGAAATAAATCAAATCTAAGACCGGTGCACATATGTGCCTGGTCCTACGTTGTGACTGACTGACTAACCAAAAGTCTACGGAACGATCGTGAGCAGTAGTTGGCAACGAAAGCAAAAGAGATGGAAAAGGTAGCGGCTGTAGGTAACACAAGATAGCTTTTCAGACTAATAAAAGAAACCGGAATTAAGAATTTAAATGTGAAGCAATCCAGGAAACAAATGGCACTCTTCGCTGCTCTCAGTCTAGACGTTTAGAACGATGGGCGGAGCACTTTAAGGATCAGTTCAGCTACTATACAACTACCCATCATTCCCAAACAGTCTGAATGGAACATTGAAATGGACCCCTCGACTCTAATTGAAGTCCCCAAAGTGCTATAGGTAATCTGAAACGAGGAAGAGCAGCCGGTCCAGATGGATTAGCTGTAGAAGTCTTTAAGTATGGTGGTCCAGTTTTAGCGATTGGTTTGACTAATATTTTAGCTAGAATCTGAGATCTGGATGTAATCCCATCTAACTGGTACCAACCACTGATCGTCCCAACATATAAGAAAGGATCAAAATCTTCCTGTGATGACTGTAGAGGGATAAGTTTAACTAATATAGCGTCTAAAATACTAGCATCAATAACTATCGGGTGCCTAACAAAGACTCGTGAACTGCAAACACGAGAAAACTAGGCTGGCCCACTATCTCCATTTTTGTTCGATTTCATCATAGACCTACTGCTGGAAATGACGTTCTCGTCGACTGAATTTTCGAGAATCGGTCCCCTACCAGGAGGTCCATTTATTGACTTGGAATACACATATGAAATATTCGTGTTTGGTGATGACGCTGATAAAATGCAGTCTTTTGGTAGCATTGAGCAACAGTGCCAAGATGTTTGGGATACGTTTCTTTTTCTCTAAATGTAAATTGTTGCTTCAGGACTGGGCTGAGTGAACACCTGAACTAAGGATAAGGAGTGAAGTAGTCGAACGCGTCGACAACTTCACTTATCTTGGAAGTCTGGTCAGCCTTAATGAGTTGGTGTCTGACAAAATCTCTGCACGGATTCAGAAAGCTCGTTTGACTTTTGCCAACTTACATCACCTATACCGAAGGTGATATATCTGTTTACCAATCAAGGGCAGAGTATACTGCACAGGAGTTCGTTCTGTTCTATTTTACGACTGCGAAACGTGGCTAATAAGAGTAGAGGATACTTGTAAGCTACTAATGTTTGACCACAGATGCGTTATAGAAATATTGCTCGCATCTGCCGGGAACATCGAGTATGTGGTAGTGAGGTTAGACGCAATTTATTAGGGAATGATGGTAAATCATTTGATGACGTTGTGAATTTTCGCCGACTGAGATGATTGGGCCACGTGTTGCGTATGCTTGAACACTGATTACCACGACGTGCAATGCTAACCGGTGCTGGGGATGGTTGGAAGAAAGTTACGGGCGGCCAAACCAAAATGTGGCATCAGTTCATAAAGCCACTAACTTCTAGTCTGAGCCATGTTGATAGATGCAGACTACTTGGTTGGGGTGCACGTGACTATCGTAACCAATGGTTGGAGACTCTCGGTGACACGGCTCAGAATCGATCACAATGGCGTAGGTGTATACACTTTTTGCCTTCCCTTAAACCCTAAGATAAAAATACCTTTATATCTCTTCCTAGGAACTAATTCTTTTTCCCTGTATCATATGCTTATATGAAATCTCTTATTTACTACCATTGAAATAACTGCTTCTATGAATTTGGTGTTCATCTTGTTGTGTTAATGAGGTGTGGCAACTTGGAACAATGCATATATGTGCCTGATGCTACGTTGTAGATGACTGACTGAATATGTATTAAGAGAAAAACTTTTTTTTTGGGGGGGCAAACCATTTTCACCTTCTAACTGATCCAGTATCTATTTATTTAGTTATATGTTTTTGTATGTCTATAAATTATGAACTCGATTCTCTGATGTCGTCAAAGTGTTTTTCTTTGAATCCCTGTTGATTTTTCAGTACTGGGGTAGGTTTCTTTGATTGTTTGTAGTATATATCATTCTGATCATTATGAATGGTTTTAAGATCATTTTTGCTGCACAGTAAACGAGTGTATGTAACAAATTTTAAATGCAGAAAATTGTTTCCTAGTTGTTATTTTTTACGGCTATTCGTTGAAGTCTGCATGACACACCGATAGGCATATTACATGTTCATTCTATATATGGTAGCAGAGCACGATATTTTATTAATAGTGAAGAATACCAGACGACGGATATTTGTGTACCTGACAATCGTAACTACCACTTACATTTCTAAATATTTGGAGTCTTCACTGCAACGTGGTTAATGAAAATTTTTCTTAACGTGAAATCATGACGTACTGTCTCAATGAATTGAAGACTTATCCTTCAGTCCCTGTAATTCGAACCTAATCTCATAAACTCGAGTTTCGGTAACTGAGTGTCATCTCTGATTTCTACACTATTATGATTTACAACATAGTGTTGGTAAATGTGCTTGAGTACTGAATTTGCTGATAATTTAATGTTTAGTGCCACAATATTTACTTTTAGTTCGTTGTAAATAATGTGGACTAAACTTAATTTTAAGATTAGTATCGCGTGCTTCTTCATCATACATGTACTTCGATATGAATTTCATTTTAATAAATTTGGGATTTCTATTTATGTTTCCAAAGTTTTACAATGATGATACCTACTACTTTTCATTGCTGTGTAATCTTTTGAATCTCCGTTTTATAGTTCATAGTTTTAACACTGTCCTTTACACCGAAAATAGTATTACTCCAACAAAATTTTATTGCTTCAATCATTAGGTCTCACATATTGCTGGGTTCAAATGAGATTATTCGATGTTTAGAGAGTTCTGTATGTAATAAAAGTGAAAATAGCCAGGAAACTCAAGGAAGGAGGATATCATGTGTTTTCGTTGATTCTGGTTGGCTGGCATCACATTATGGTCACCATTTGGCGAATTTGTGTGCTCTGTTGAATATTAGATTAGTGGCAATCAAACCGACAGGATCACTACCTGAGTTAGTTACAACTAAGTTTAAACCTGTAAAAAAGGTAATTCCTTTTGCCAGTCATACCATTTCAATTTCAATACATTTAATACATTTATTTTTCCCCTTGAAGTTTCGAAAATAGTCTACTACTGCCTATTTAACAGTAATGTTTAAAAAAAACTTTACAATTCTTACTAGATTTCTTCATAACAATACTTTGATTAGTCTGAGTTGTCGAACATCAGTTTTTTAATACGAGTGTTAGACTCCATATTTGTCCTGAACATAGGTTTAGTAGCAGATTGTTTTACACAATATTAAGCTGTAATGATCTACTTCGAGCTTCAAAAATACTGATGTGTATTTTCACCTCGATTATCCTTCTTACTATCAGCTAAAGTAAACAAAGATCCTGTGACAAATGTGCGTCGGCCTAAATTACCGAGTCACATTTGCATGACGAATTGAAAGTAATAAGATGAATACCAAAGCAGTCGAAATAATAGTAGTATCAATGTTATTGACAAAGGCTAAAGGTTGAAAATATGGCTCGAGAAGAAGGAACGTAAATATATGTATGGAGAGATACTAGAACTCAAAATCTAAAGAAAGATAAAGAATAAATGGATGCGCATTATTGTCAACGATTCGAAGCCGTTTTATTCAATGTCTCAAAATATTAATATCAGTTATTTTGTGGACCCCGACCAGGTGAACTGCATCCACCACACATAGGTTAGACCAGCAGTCACCTGCCTCGGGTTGGTTTCACGTCTTGATTTGACCGTTCTTAGATTTATTCCGACTTAGTCTTGCTCCAGTCAATATTGAACTTCGAGGTAGAGGGTGTCTGAGTATACACGACACATGTCTCAATTACTTCAGTCGATTAAGATTCACAACCTCACGAACCGGTTGACCATCTTTGTCTAGTACCCTATTCCCAACCTCAGCATTGTTCACTCGGTCGTTCCACAACATGCGAGTAGTGCTTTGAAGATACTTATGGTCAAAAGCCTGGAGCCCATTCATGTCTTCTACTGTCATAGACCACGTTTCTCAGCCATAAAGTAGTGCAGAGAAGATTGGTGAGCTGCATACAGGCCCTTTGGTTTGTAGACAGACGTAGTGCCTACTCCACCAGTGACCCTTGGTGAATGTAAGCTAACTGAACTTTCTGAATGTGTGCTGACATCCTATCAGACACCAACCTATCAAACCAAAAAACGCAACTTTCGTTGTAGATCGGTAAGTACGCTTAGTTCTAAAACCAGACGAACAGTAAATTTCAAGTTAACATATTTACGTCCGGGTTTCAAATCAGCCTGATTTCACCAGGTTTGATCTCCACGAGCCCTAGTTAGGCGGTGGCTGATAATACAAGCTACTATTTAAAATACTATATTAGTCAACGTCTTACTGTGTTTTGTCGTACAAGTTCAAATTCAGCCTGATATACGTAAGTAAAAGTCTGAATTTTACACTAATATATAGTATTAACAACAATATTGTTGTACTATTTAATTGAGTAAATTCTGTTTTACTAAGCCATAAAACGTGTGTATGCATTACACTCTAAAATACTTTGTAGTAGCTAATCACTTGTTAATTCACTCAGACAGAATCAGGTCAAAAAGGAAAACCTTTACCTTGTAGCTTTGAAGGTCGTTCCACCTACTGAGGTGTTTAGTCGATCCGGTAGCTTCATTAGTCCTCATACGAACAAAGACGTGTCTCAGAACTGAGTAGGTGAATATGTATTTGGTCAACTAACCGCATTACCTTTTGTAAAACATTTTAAGTTAGATAATATACCCAGATCTTTGTTTTACTGGTATTTATGCAAACTCAGAAATGCACATTAAATTAGCCTTAAAATATTACTTATGTTCAACTGTCTGTTAAATAACTTCAGTTGCATAATGTTTATAATCTTGTTTCAAATTTTTGGAGCTGGCAGTTTTGGGGTTTTGCCTATCTAATGAGATTCCATCAGATCTCTCTGACATTTGTAAACAAATCGAGATCAAGTTTCCTACACTTGGTGATAATACTAGTAGCATTTCAGCTTCAATGGACATTAAAAGACGCGAGACTTCATTTAAAATGGCTATTAATTGTTCAAAAGCCGTAAGTACATACCCTTACATTTCTAAAGACTTAATTAAATCTCCCGTTTCAATTTTTTTTATCATTATGTATATAATCGCAGAAATACTTAATGTTCATTGTTATATATAACTGCTAAGCGTTTGCATTTAATGTGCATTCATGCTACATATTTTTGTTGTACATTTTTCGTGACCTTTTATTCGTAACACGCTGTTTATTCTGTTGTACTCATCTAATCTATAGCTACTATCTAGTCACATTGGTCGAATTTTTCTCTAGTGGTGATCCAGTTATGATGGACCCTCTGAAACACTAGTTTTTCTGTGGCATTAAGGTTGATCAGAGGGTGTTGAGACTAAAATCTATTGTCATAATGTAAATAATTTAGTTTGCAATGCGGATTCAAATGACAGGCTATATTGGAACGGAAATAAAATGGTGGTAAGTGCTTCCTTCCAAACATCCAGAATACTAAGCTATTCTGTCATTCTACTTGCGAGACAAAAGATTAGATACATTTAACACAAACTTGTGCATTTCCATCTTATCGTACGGCTTTTCGTTCCTGACTGTGGAGCGACTAGTGAAACTCTCAAACTACTGCCATACCTGTAACAACTGCGTAACTGGAATCAGGCAGATATCTTATAGGCTTTGGCTAATTTTTAGATATTTTGGAAAAGTATCAACCTTCAGATTGTGGACAACTGGGATCAATACTTGCCTTAACCTCTCAAAAACAATGAAAATGCTTTTTTATTGATTGAGACTAATAGCCATCCTCCTTTATTCCTCTGCGTTCATTATATTTTATTAACAACACCACAGTTCTTACTCCGATACAATTACTAAATATTCATAGGCATGTATCTAGACGTATGAATAAGATTAAAGCCTAGAGCTAAGAAAACACTTCTTGACTTAATTTCTGCCAATGCACTGTCTGGATAAATGATTCTGTTAAAATTCAGTAATCTGAAAAGTTCAGTGATGCTTATTTTTTTTTTACACAATTACTGATCGCAGTACAGGTAAAGTTAAAAGGTGTTGGCCTTTGGAAAAGAAAACGTAAAGATATATTTACTTTAGCATATAAGCTAAGCTAAGCTAAAACCTGTTTTAGCAGTGTGTTTTGCAGTTAAGTACTGATCAATTGATTAAAGTAGTCTCTATATTGGCTTCAACTACTGCTTGTTTGTGACAAATATTCATTGAAAGTATAGGCGATTACATTGTTCGACATACGGGTTATCGATATTCTTCTAACAATAAGCTTAGATAAATCACATGATTATTGATCATCACAAGACCAGTTGATGTGCCACAACACACTGGAAGTGCTTTAAAGATCTCTGCCCTCCTTTAATTTATACTTCCACGGTAGTGTGCCAGGAGGGACTGCAAATTTGCGTTAAATTCTCTTTTCTTAATGATTATTTGAATATTTCTTGAAAGCTACAGATTAGATTTTTTAGGCCCGACCAAAGCTGCTACCTTGACGCGGTGGTCGGGCTTGCCTATCGTGATGACCCAACCGAGCTATATTGGCTGGAACATATGTTCCTGTAGGTTCTACCATGCCAGGCAGGTCGATTGGAGAACGGTAAGACTAAAAGCAGCAACTCAAGGTCTGAGGGCGAAGTCGTACTGCTGACTGTAGAGAGGTGTGACAGCAGTAAGGTGTTTCCCTCGGACAACCAGCATGACAGCGATGCTGCCTTCCCACAAGGAGGGGTGGGGTTAGAAAAGGTCGACCCTAAAAATGTCACACCTCACCTTACCTCACGGATTTCCGTCTCCGGCGGTAAGGCCCTTTGAAGAACGGAGCTAACACATTAAAAACCTTCCACGAAAAGGCCGTGCGCGACCGGCCTCAAGCAGTTGTCCCTTGGGCTCTGCGGTCACGCTCCCAGGTCGTTAAGACCAACACTAATCCAATTTCCTTTTCAGGTTCCTCAAGAAATACCCTTCCACGGTGTGGGCAGCCGGGAAGTGACATCAGCCCTCATACCCGTAACAGCACACGAGACCAAGTTGGTCACATTCAAATCCTTCCTACACCTCCTAATACCTCTCTTATCTCCCGACTAACCCTCCTCACGTCTTTTCTTCACCTCGCACCGCTAGGGCAAACGATTCGAGTACGCGGAACGCTATTCCTGGTCTCCTGAAACCACGCTCTAAACTACACGTAGGAGCTTTTAACGTACGAACACTGTGCCAAATAGGACAACAGGCTTCCTTAGCTAGGACTTTAGAATCCCGCGCCATCGATGTGTGCTGCGTCTCCGAAACGCGCATACAGGATCCGAGTAGCGTCATTCATTTGACCTCACCATGCCAAAATAAAGAACCGACTCGATTCACACTTCGTGTATCTGGAAGCCCTGATTCTGCTTCCCGTGGCCTCGCCGGCGTAGGTATAGCATTGAGTCCTAGGGCAGAACTAGCTCTCTTAGAGTGGATCCCAGTAGACAGTCGTTTGTGCGCTGTCCGACTGAACGGAACAGTAAGAATCCGGAAAGATAGGGACACTCGTCGTTGCCTCTTCGTCGTCTCTGCCTATTCTCCCACTGACTGCAGCGCTTCTTGCGGTGGGGGTGTTATTTACGAAATTGAGAGAAAATAAGAGAATATTCGGCGCTCTAACCGGGTTGGTGGATACGGAGGATCCACCTAGGAGAATTGGTAAACCTGATTCCAAACGAATGGTGCACATGGGCTCCAGGATCTTGATGGAACGAATGGCATATGAACCTACTGCTGGTCACCGGCTACCATGGGACTGCATCTCCTTACGCTGCTCTACTGAGCTCTGATAAAGTAATAATGGCCGGTGACTTTAATGCTCAAGTAGGTAAACTAAACGATAGAGAAAGACACCTGAGTGGATCTTATAGCATCGTGGCTCAAAGAACAGATAATGGCGACCGTCTGTTGCAGCTATGCTCAGATAACCGCCTGTTCCTTGCAAATACTAACTTTATGCATAAGGAAAAACATCTTTTGACAAGGCAACCCTCGAATTCGTCTCAACGTTGGACCCAAATAGATCACATCGCTATCAGCCACCGATGGAGGGGCTCGATAGAAGACTGTCGCTCATTCTGGAGCACATGCTTAGATTCAGATCATGCTCTAGTACGAGCGCGTATTTGTCTGCGTCTTATTAGACGTAGGGAAGACGCTGTCAGGAAACCTCTCAGTGTTCTACTCAATGATTGCCAAGCTAAGAATATATTTCAGGAACTAGAAAAAGTTAGGCAGCCATTTAAGTGATGCCCACCCCGAGGTAGCTTGGAATGATATCCGAAAAACTGTGAAAACAGCAGTGATATCTGCTAGTAAGGTAACCCGTAAGCTTAGGGAGCAACACTGGATCTCAGCAGCATCTGTCGCACTGATAGATACTCGGAAACTCATCCCATCAGGCTCTGAACATGACGAAGAGTGGAGTCAGATTAAGCGCAAGCTGACAAGAAGCCTACGTAATGGTCGTGAACAGTGGTGGGTAGAGAAAGCAAGAGAGATGGAAAAGGCAGCGGCGATAGGCAACAACAGACAACTGTTCAGACTTGTCAAGGAAACCGGTATTAGGAACCCAACTGTTAGTGAAACTATCTCCGAAAAAGATGGACACATTGTTCATTCTCGATCCAGGAGATCAGATCGATGGGCAGAACACTTTAGGGATCAGTTCAACTGGCATTCAGTCATATTCCGGTTTCTCACGGTCCCCAGTCGAATTGAATGGCAAGTTAATGTAAGTCCTCCAACTCTTTACGAAGTTGAAAAAGCCATAGGAAATCTGAAGCGTAGGAGAGCAGCAGGCCCTGACAGGTTTACCCTGAGATTTTTAAGGATGGTGGTCCAGTATTAGCAGCGAGATTGACTGAGGTCTTAGGCAGAACCTGGGAAATTGACGTAATCCCGTCTGACTGGTCTCAATCACTGATTGTGACAGTCCATAAGAAAGGACAAAAGTCCTCTTGTGACAATCACAGAGGAATCTGTTTGACAAATATAGTGTCTAAAATCTTAGCTTCAACAATACTTCGACGCCTAACTAAAGCTCGTGAAGAGCAGACTAGAGAAAACCAGGCTGGTTTCCGACCTTACTTTACTTCCTTACGTCTGTTAATCCTCGTGAAGGAGCATAGGCCGCTCACCAGCATTCTCCATCCAACCCTGTGACGGGCAATCCTTTCCAGTTGTTATTGATCCCTTTCATGTCTGATTCTATTTTCCGACGTAATGTGTTCTTTGGCCTTCCTCTTTTTCGCTTCCCTTCAAGATCCCAAGTTAGGGTTTGCCTCGTGGTGCAGTTTGGTGATTTGCATAATGTATGTCTTATCCATTTCCATCGTCTTTTCCTAATTTCCTCTTCAGCTGGAAGCTGGTTTGTTCTCTTTCACAGAAAGCTGTTGATGATGTTGAGTATCTTGAGTAGACAGCTATTTATAAATACTTGTAACCTCTTGATAATGGTTGTTGTAGTTCTCCGAGTTCCAGCTCCGCACAGTAAAACTGTCTTGACGTTTGTATTGAAGATTCTGACTTTGATATCGGTTGGCAGACAGTTGTTTTGAGTTCCACATGTTCTTCAATTGTAAGAATGCGACCCTTGCTTTGCTAATCCTCGCCTTTACATCTGCATCTGAACCTCCTTGTTCATCGATGATGCTTCCCAGGTATGTGAAGGACTCTACATCTTCCAGAGTTTCGCCATCAAGTGTGATTGGATTGCTGTTTTCCGCTTTGAATTTGAGGACCTTGGTTTTCTCCTTGTGAATGTTGAGGCCTACTGATGCAGAGAGTGCTGCTACACTGGCTGTCTTTATCCGCATTTGTTCGTGTGTATGCGATAGGAGGGCTAGGTCATCTACGAAGTCCAAATCGTCTAATTGTTTCTGAACTGTCCGTTGTAAGCCGTCTTTTCCCTCAGATGTCGAGGTCTTCATAATCCAGTCGACCACCAGAAGAAAGAGGAAGGGAGAGAGTAGACAGTCTTGTCTGACTCCGGTCCTTACTTGGAATGCGTCTGTCAGCTGTTCTCCATGCACTACATTGTACTGTAGTCCGTCGTATGAATTCCTGATGATGTTGACAATCTTCTGAGGATTTCCATAGTGTCGAAGAAGTTTCTATAATGTCCTCCAATCTACACTGTCAAACGCCTTTTCATAATCAATGAAGTTGATTTACAGTGACGAGTTCCACTCAATTGATTGTACTACGATTATCCGTAGTGTCGTAATTCGGTCTGTGCACGACCGATCCTTACGGAATCCAACCTGTTGATCTCGAAGTTGGGCGTCTACTGCGTCTTTCATCCGGTTCGGCAACACTCTGTTAAAGACTTTCTCTGGTACTGACAGTAGTGTGATGCATCTGTAGTTTTCACATTTGCTCAGATCTCCTTTCTTTAAAATCTTGATGAGGTATCCTTTTTTCCAGTCCATCGGCACTTGTACCTCCTCCCAAATCTTTCTGAATAGAAGGTGGAGCATCTTTGCGATTGCATGCATGTTCGGGATGCGATTCTCGCCCTCGAAATGTTGCTTCAGGATTGTGTTGCATCAGCACCTACATAAATGATAGGGAATGAAGTAGTTGAGCCTCACTTATCTTGGAAGTCTCATCAGCCCTTGTGGTCTGGTGTGTGACGAAATCTCAGCACGGATACAGAGGGCTTGACCAGATCACGCCAAGTTGCGTCATTTTTGGAGTAGGCGAGATATCCGTCTAGCAACCAAAGGACAAGTTTACTAAGCAGCAGTTCGTTCCGTCCTACTTTATGGCTGTGAAACATGGCCGGTAAAAGTAGAGGATATCCGTAGGTTACTAGTATTTGATCATAGGTGTCTTCGAAATATTGCTCGTATATCCTGGGACCATCGAGTAAGTAATGCAGTTGTTAGGAAACGGGTAATAGGTAAGGATGGCAAATGAATTGATGAAGTAGTGAGACTTCGTCAGTTGAGAAGGCTGGTACACATGTTACGTATGCCCAACAACCGACTGCCTCGACGTGCGATGTTTTCTGGTGTAGGGGTAGGTTGGGAGAAAGCTAGGGGCGGTCAGATCAAAACATGGAACAAATCCATGAAGTCACTGACAAGTGGACTGAGCCATGTTGGTATGTGTAGACTACCTGGTCGAGATCCGCGAGACTATATCAACCGATGGTTAGAGACCTTGAATGACATGGCTCAAAATCGTTTGCAATGGTGCATGTTTATCCACTCTTTGTGGTCTCCTAAATCCAAATCTTCTGAATTCTGCATGTCCTTTTTTCTCTTTCCAAATTTATTTCACTGGATTATACTCCTTGAATAACATCCTCAAACCCTAGTCTTTCCGATTACTGCTAATACTCTTACTACCTCTACCACTATGGGGTTTGAATCGACCACTGCATCTGTGTGCTAATGTGGTGTGGCAACTCGAACTGCTGTACGTACGTACGAAGTTCTACGTTGTTACTGACTGAGATTTTTAGGAGTGACCGTTTAGTCTCTAACATTGAGGTCAAAGTGATCTCATACAATTGTTCATGTGACTGCCTGGATTCAGTTTAAATTTCTTGGATAGTGAGACCCGACTGTTGACAGCTTCATTTAAGAAAAAAAACAGCCATATTACAAAATTTCTCCAAGTTATCGTTTCTAACCGATAAATTGTTCTATCAATGACTGTCATTATGTTTTAATATATTATGGAGTGCGACTTGTCAAAAATCTTCCCAGGTTTACTTTCATATTCTGGGTCCGTTGACTCTTTCTACGTCTAACATCAATAATGATCGCACCAGTTTAAGTCAGCTTCTCAGCGATCTTAATAATTTAATCAGCAGTTGTGAATTTTTGTTCATGTCTACCGAAGTTTGATCTGAAGGCAATTGAATATTAGTAATAACGTTTGTAAGTAAGTCCCATACTGTTGTGAACCCATTGCCAATATTAAATGCATTTGCTCTCTTTATTCATGCTCTCTTATTTCAGACTTCATTAGTCGAGAAAAAAGAAAGTTGGGAGGATGTTCAAATTAGTTCAAAATTATATGATTATAGTTCACCACCCCATAAATTTACTATCACTGAATTTCAGTCATACCTATCTTCTCTCATTCTTCAGTCATTTGAAAGTGAAATTGTTCATGGTATGCTTGATAGTGACAATCAATCTGACTTTGAATACAGTTATGGCTTTTGTGCGTATAAACCACCTGTGTTAAAACGGGTTGTCGCTCGAACAGAACGTAAAACTCGAAAGCGGAAAACGTTTGCATCTGCCAATTTTCAGCCAAAAACTCCAGTAGAAAAAAAGACAAACAATGATACATGCGATAAGGTAAAACAAGAGGAGTTGCTACCTATGGTTTGATAAATCCACTTTATTACTGAATTTTGTAAACCTGTGTAACCGGTGTGTAATAAAATTTCATTTATTCTCTTTAACTTTGTTTTGTTATCATTTATTTGTATGTGTTGGTTAATATGAATTGTTTGATAAGAAAAGTAGTTGGTTCTGGTAGATTTTAGATTCACTTTTATTTACGTTGGCACTGTCAATGTCATTCTCCGATGTGACCACCCCGATAACTCTCTCATTCGACTTAAGCAAACAGCGTAAAACACAACAATAGGCAGAAAAGATGTATATTCATACCGAAAAGTTACAAAGTATTTAAATAATAATACACATGCATAGCTTTCAATTGTCCATTTGCATCCTTCTGTGTGTTCTGCCACCTAAACTGTCTTCTCAACTGGTTTCCAAGTGTTCTACCAACGCCGTGCTTTTGATGCACAGAAACTCTTCACTCCGTCTGACAATTGTTGCAACTTTGACGCTACGTTCCGCTACACACTAATTACAGATATCTTATGAGTAGCGTCCACTACAATAGAACAACTAAGTGTACATTGCTAAAGATATCGTAGTTAGCACTTGAACAAAAATTTGCATCAAATCAACTAATTTAATTTCTCCACTTAGAAACTTATGCCTAACTGCAATGTGGTTGACTCGATGAATACATGGGATATAACTTTTCCTCATAGATACCGCATTTCATAACTGAGTTAGTTACTGTAAATTCTTTTACATTTCTAAACTTGGCCTTGAAATGCTGACCACTTCAATAGATCATTTATTTCAGCAGGACAATCATTGACAAAAGCTTACTCCATGGCTATGAACATTCTTTTATTACGTTACTAGGTCTCTGAGCTTTCGTTTCTGAAAGCTATGTTTAACACACTGTAAGCCAACAGTAAGTTTTTTATATCGGAAGACAGGTATCACTAGCTAACTTTCTATAATTTCATCCCATCAGTGTATCCCACGTCAACAAAACACACAAGATCATTCATTTGATCTCACCCAGCGAGTAGGGAGCACAAACACTTAGGTGGATCTCATGGTATCCCGGTTGAACACGCGGACAGTGGTGATCGCCTGCTACTTATTATTCCTGCCAAATACAGACTTTAAGCCTAAAATGAGACATTGTCTAACCTAGTGACTCTAAACATCAGAACAGCGTTGAGAAAAAATTGATCATATCACCAGTCGTTACTGGAGAGGCCCGACAGAATTTTGCCGCTCCTTCCAAGACAAATCCTTGGACTGGGATCATGCACGAGTGCGAGAAAGCATTTCAACGCATCTTACTGGACGTAGGAAAATCACAACAAAAACAGCCCTTAAATATTGTTTGGGAAAAGGAAGACGTCAAAGACAAATCAAGGGAAGAGTTAGCTTATCGCCTAGTTGATCGGGAAAAATAGTTAGCCTTGAAGAAGCTTGGAATGATATCCAAACACTTGTTAGTACATCAATGACATCTCCCAATAACTTGCATAGAAAATTTAAGCCAGTAGATTTCGTTACTATTTAATAAATTGATAGATGTTCAAAAGCTCATCTAAGCAGGCTTAAAAAGCGGTAAAGAGAGGCAACAACTCGGACACAAACGAGCAAAATTTCAACGGAATGATCTTGAGCAATAGTGAGAGAAAAGCAAAAGAGACTGGTGAGGCAGCGGCGCCAGACAACACTAAAAAACTGTTCCGATTCATCAAGGAAACAGGTATTAAAAAGGGAACCATTTTTAGACTACTTCACAAAAATACAACCACCATTCCCTCTGCTTAGAAGTTAAGACTGGTTGGTAGGAAATTTCCGGAAACAGTTCATCTGCCTCCCGCTGTCTACTATTACTTATTATTTTCAAACAACCTAATTTAGAGATGCGATTGGCCCCTCGACTCTGGCTGGGATTTAATAGGTTATATCTAATCTACAGCGAGGAAGAACAGGAGGCTCTTACTGATTAATCTCGACGATCTTCAGCAGTGGAGGTTCAGTTTTAGTAGTAAATTTGACGCAGATATCAGCTGAAGCTTGGGAACTATAGTCACTCAGGTTTAGACAGAATGACTGTCTACAAACCAAAGGGCCTGTATGCAGCTCACCAATCTTCTCTGCACTACTTTATGGCTGAGAAACGTGGTCTATGACAGTAGAAGACATGAATGGGCTCCAGGCTTTTGACCATAAGTATCTTCAAAGTACTACTCGCATGTTGTGGAACGACCGAGTGAACAATGCTGAGGTTGGGAATAGGGTACTAGACAAAGATGGTCAACCGGTTCGTGAGGTTGTGAATCTTAATCGACTGAAGTAATTGAGACATGTGTCGTGTATACTCAGACACCCTCTACCTCGAAGTTCAATATTGACTGGAGCAAGACTAAGTCGGAATAAATCTAAGAACGGTCAAATCAAGACGTGAAACCAACCCGAGGCAGGTGACTGCTGGTCTAACCTATGTGTGGTGGATGCAGTTCACCTGGTCGGGGTCCACAAAATAACTGATATTAATATTTTGAGACATTGAATAAAACGGCTTCGAATCGTTGACAATAATGCGCATCCATTTATTCTTTATCTTTCTTTAGATTTTGAGTTCTAGTATCTCTCCATACATATATTTACGTTCCTTCTTCTCGAGCCATATTTTCAACCTTTAGCCTTTGTCAATAACATTGATACTACTATTATTTCGACTGCTTTGGTATTCATCTTATTACTTTCAATTCGTCATGCAAATGTGACTCGGCAATTTAGGCCGACGCATATTTGTCTCTAGCCTTACTTTGTTACTTTCTGTGTTTTTAGACTTTCTATGTAAACTTGTTTTTTATTCTCTTTGAGATTTATTTGGAAACCGTTGTTTTATGTTACTGTATGATGTCTCGTTTTGTTTGTAGTTTTAAGCTTCTCAGTATGATGATTATTTTCATAAAGGCTTACTTAATTTTATCGAAACAACTGACTAATTTGAACACCGTTTTTTTATCGCAGATTTCTCACTTGAAATTTATAAATAGTTTATAGTAGTTGTTTCCATTGACAATATGATCTTATTTCATGTTGTGTTAAAGGTGAATGATCAGCGGTGTTTCACACAAATACTTGTTTAATTTTGTTTTACAATGAGTGATAACAATGAGAAGTATATGGATGAAATTGCCGTAAAGAATTTCATTCGATACTTACAATTTGTGACAGTTCATCCCAATCCATGCTATCGAGCTGCTGTTGAGTGGCTTGTTAAATTGGGTCAAGAATTACAGCTCATGTGCAATGTCGTTGAAATCGTTCCAGATAATCCTATCGTCATCATGCGTTGGGATGGATATCAACCGGAATTACCAGCAATCATGTTAAATTCACATATGGACGTAGTACCAGTTGTCGAAGAAAAATGGTCATATCCTCCATTCAGTGGTACAATTACACCTGATGGTAAAATATACGGGCGAGGTACTCAGGTAATTAAATCTCGTGATTATACTGTTCGCTAGAACAGCATAAATATTCACTTTTTACTCAAATGTAAATAGTTATTATGATAAACTTATTATAGTTGAACTAGTAGATCGATATGGTTGTAATTATAAGAAGTATTTTAATGTAATTTTTGTTGCTGCATGTTAGTAACTAGTTTTCTGTGCAGGCTTGATTTGACCATTCGTGTAATCGTATACATCTTATGGAATTTGAGTTATATAGGTGGTCGTCTACACGTTAAGACAAGTCTTCGCTTTAACAGAAAAAGCTGCTACTTTAACATTTGTTCGTAAAACAATCGGCGAATTTTCCGTAAATCCCGAGTGACCTCGTGTCAAACTAGTCATCATTAACTTACTTACTTACTTACTTACGCCTGTTACTCCTCGTGAAGGAGCATAGGCCACTCACCAGCATTCTCCATCCAACCCTGTCCTGGGCAATCCTTTCCAGCTCCGTCCAGTTGTAATTCATCCTTTTCATATCTGCTTCTATAATCCGACGCAATGTGTTCTTTGGCCTTCCTCTTTTTCGCTTCCCTTCAGGATTCCAAGTTAGGGCTTGCCTCGTGATGCAGTTTGACGATTTGCGTAATGTATGTCCTATCCATTTCCATCGTCTTTTCCTAATTTCTTCTTCAGCTGGAAGTTGGTTTGTTCTCTCCCACAGAAGGCTATTGCTGATGGTATCCGGCCATGGATGTTGAGTATCTTGCGTAGGCAGCTATTTATAAATACTTGTACTTTCTTGATTGTGGTTGTTGTAGTTCTCCAAGTTTCAGCTCCATACAGTAGAACTGCCTTGACGTTCGTATTGAAGATTCTCACTTTGATATTGGTTGAAAGTTGTTTTGAGTTCCATATGTTCTTCAATTGTAGGAATGCGACCCTTGCTTTGCCGATCCTCGCCTTTACGTCTGCATCTGAACCTCCTTGTTCATCGATGATGCTTCCTAGGTATGTGAAGGACTCTACATCTTCCAGAGTTTCGCCATCAAGAGTGATTGGATTGCTGTTCTCCGCTTGAATTTGAGGACCTTGGTTTTCCCTTTGTGTATGCTGAGGCCTACTGATGCAGAGACTGCTGCTACACTGGCTGTCTTCATCTGCATCTGTTCGTGTGTACGTGATAGGAGGGCTAGGTCGTCTGCGAAGTCCAAATCGTCTAATTGATTCTGAGCTGTCCATTGTATTCCGTGTTTTCCTTCAGATGTCGAGGTCTTCATAATCCAGTCGACCACCAGAAGAAAGAGGAAGGGAGAGAGTAAACAGCCTTGTCTGACTCCAGTCCTTACTTGGAATGCATCTGTCAGCTGTCCTCCATGCACTACTTTGCACTGTAGTCCGTCGTATGAGTTCCGGATAATGTTGACAATCTTCTCAGGAACTCCGTAGTGTCGAAGAAGTTTCCATAATGTCCTCCTATCTACACTGTCGAATGCCTTTTCATAATCAATGAAGTTGATGTATAGTGATGAGTTCCACTCAACTGATTGTTCGACGATGATCCGTAGTGTTGCAATTTGGTCTGTGCACGACCGATCCTTACGGAATCCAGCTTGTTGATCTCGAAGTTGGGCGTCTACTGCATCCTTCATCCGGTTCAGCAACACTCTGTTGAAGACTTTCCCTGGTATTGACAGTAGTGTAATGCCTCTGTAGTTTTCACATTTGCTCAGATCTCCTTTCTTTGGAATCTTGACGAGGTGTCCTTCTTTCCAGTCCATCGGCACTTGTTCCTCCTCCCAAATCTTTTTGAATAGAAGGTATAGCATGCTTGTGGTTGCTTCGATGTCTGATTTCAGTGCTTCAGCTGGTATGTTGTCGGGTCCTGCTGCTTTCCCGTTCTTGATTTGTCTGACGGCCATTCTAATTTCTTCCGTCGTTGGTGGGTTGACATCTATAGGAAGATCTATGTGTGCTGCTTCGATGTCCGGTGGATTCATTGGAGCCGGCCTATTCAGGAGTTCCTCGAAGTATTCTACCCATCTGTTACGCTGTTGTTGAATTTCGGTGATTGGCTTGCCTTCTTTGTCTTTGACCGGCCTCTCTGGTTTACTGTATTTCCCTGCTAGTTTCTTCGTTGTATCGTGAAGCTGTTTCATATTTCCTTCTCTAGCAGCTTTTTCTGCCGTCGTTGCTAGTTCTTCCACGTATTTCTTCTTGTCGGCTCTAATGCTCCTCTTCACTTGTTTGTTTGCTTCTATGTATTCAGCTTGTGCTTGGACTTTCTCTGCTCGTGTTCGGCTGTTGTTAATTGCTGCCTTCTTGTTCTTCCTTTCTTTGATCTTGTCCAGTGTTTCTATAGAGATCCATTCCTTATGATGGTGTTTCTTTAGGCCCAGAACCTCTTGACACGTTGAAGTTAATGCTTCCTTGATGCCTTTCCAGTTGTCCTCCATAGTAGTTTCTTCTTCTTTCAGTAGATCTTGTAAGGCTTGGAACCTGTTGTTGAGAGCTATCTTGAATTCATTGAGTTTGTCAGTATCTCGAAGGAAGGCTGTATTGAACCTTTGTAGTGCTGTTTGTCCACTTGTCCAGTTCTTTTTAGCTTCAGTTTTAAATTGGCTACAACTAGGTGGTGATCTGAAGCTACGTCAGCACCTCTCCTGGTTCTCACATCTTCCATTGTCCTTCGGAATTTTTTGTTGATGCAAATATGATCTATTTGGTTCTCTGTAGTGTGGTCCGGTGAGATCCATGTAGCCTTGTGTATACGCTTGTGTGGAAATATTGTGCCTCCTATGACCAATTTGTTGAATGCACACAAATTTGCAAATCTTTCTCCATTTTCGTTTCTTTCTCCCAGTCCATGTCGTCCCATAATATCTTCATATCCAGTGTTGTCTATTCCGACTTTGGCATTTAGATCTCCCATCAGAATAGTTAGGTCCTTTCTTGGCATTTCTCAATGATTGACTGCAGCCGCTCGTAGAACTGATCTTTAATGTCGTCGTTGCTATCATTGGTGGGTGCATAACATTGGATAATATTCATTAAGATCCCCTCCTTCTTTGTTTTGAATGATGCTTTGATGATTCTGGATCCGTGAGACTCCCATCCTACAAGTGCATTTCGTGCTACTTTGGACAGCATAAGAGCGACTCCCTGAGTGTGTGGAGCATTTTCCTCCTCGTGACCGGAGTATAGCAGCATCTCTCCCGTAGCTAGCCTTTTCTGTCCAGCTTGGGTCCAGTGGGTTTCGCTGATTCCCAGTACTGCTAAGTTGTATCTCCTCATTTCCATTGCTATTTGACTGGTCTTCCCGGTTTCCCACATTGTTCGAACGTTCCATGTACCTATAAAAATTTTTGCTCTGGTTGTTAGAAGGGGCATCGGCCTCGTGGCTTCCGAAGGAACTCGGCTTTCACCATGAAGCGTCATAATTCTTCTAACTGAAGACCTTCTAACTCCCAGGGCAGAGTTTAAATGGTTTGAATTATTTTTTCTGGTAAGCGTTTTTTTAGCGAGTTAGTTTTCTACGGGATGGGGACGCTAACCCCATGCCCAACCCTCCTCCTTTATCCGGGCTTGGGACCGGCAGTAACCCTGTTAGAGCTACAGGCGGAGTTATCATTAACTTAGGACCTTGCAAAATTGTACACTAACCCCAATTCCCATACCATATCAGCACCTTTCGGGAAAATGCATTAAATCAACAGCAAGGCAGTCGGGGTAGTATTTGGAACCTAAATTCTGCGGGATTGTAGATTGACTAATGGCACACTTCAATCGTATTTAAGCTGAAACTGGTGCGAAAATTTATTGTATTAACGCATAAGATTGTCCAATTTACCTATATATGCATGGTTCATTTTGTCTATTGTAGTGCAATAATTATGGATTTAGAACTGTAAAGCCTGGTGATCGAGTTAGTGGGAACAATTATTTCTTCAGGTATTCCTTGTTCTTAAATACTGAATACATTCTGCACTCTTGTGTCCTATTTTGAGCCATGACACCTAAGGCTGCCGGTTCTCAGTCACGATTATTGCTCAGACCCTATCCAGGTAGTTTTCACATACACACACAGCCTAAACCAATGGTCATTGACTTAATATACTGGGACCTCAACTTAATTTGTCTGCCTTAGCTTTCTTATTCATTTTGGCTATAATCCCATCTAACAATCTTGCGGAATCTTTTGACTGTGTAAATACGCATTGATATTTTTTCTAGCATGTAAACTAGATTCTGAAAGGAAACACTAAGAAC